AAAAAAATGAACACTATAATTTAAACATATGATTATAAATGCGTGTTTGTGTATTTGCTTCAATAAGATTTTGACAGGTTGTTTTATTAAAAATCTTCAAGTTTCTAAAGCAACAGTGTGCAAAAATTTTTGCACATGGGCCAATTCAGGAAAAATGAAATGTTTTTCAGGTGCATGTGTCCCACACATTAACAAGTCATGTTGTATTGATTTAGATCATGTTTTCTATTACTTGTTGAAAAATACATAGTATCTGGTAAATATGACAAATAGAAACATAAAAATATGTTTGTGCATTGATGGTTTACCTTCAAATCTGTACAGCACTTGAGTTTGGTATATTTACATATGTTATATTCATGCTATGTCTGACATAATATTCAGAGAAAGGTAGCTGTATTTCTTCTCTACTTTCAAGAGGAAAATAGAGTTAGTGATATAAAAGACTCACTGACAAAGTTAATAAAGAGAGTTTGAGTAAGATCAGTTTATCTTACTCAGTGTAACCTTTTTAGCCAGGAACAAGCAGGCCCAAGATAAAATTGCAGTAAAGAACCTTCTTACCTGCTCTAGTACGATGTTCTTTTCCATTTCAGTTGATGATGGAGTGACCCATGCAATAAAAGAAACAGTACTCCTGATAATTTTAGGAAATTATTTCTTTTCTGAGATTACTTTTAATTTTCATTTTGCTCAGGGGATTTGCAGGTGTCAGAAGCATTGGACAGTTGCACTGTCAAGACTTTTCTGGCAAAGGTCCTGTAGGCAACTCTGACTCTTATGGCAGATGTCTTTCAGAATGTTTTCTATGATTGATAAACATGGTCATTGTATAGATGACTGCAGATGATAAGAGCTAGTTTTAGTTTTTTAGGTATACAATGAGAATTTATTTTACAACTGAGCTGATTCAGATATCAATTTAGTAAGTGATTCCATGTCACTAAAGGCCTTCACATGTAAGGAAATTAAATGAAGAAATAGAATGGTTCCTTTCAACCTTACCAATTTAATAAAAAGAGGACAGATTTATTACAGAAAAATTTGGGTTGGACTATTATCTTTCAGCTTCTTTGTGAATGATCATGAGTAATCTGATGAACTTCTCTGAACCTTTGTTTTTCTACTAGAAAGTAAACAAATATTTCATAACCTAGTATTGTCAGCATCAAAACAAGATTATATTTGCTATGATACCAGAGAGATGGTCTTTAAAACTATAACAGCAGAAATTGCAGTTAATAAAGCAAAAATAGGCAACTACAGTAAGAATCTCAGCTATCTAGATGTTAGGTGGGAGAAAAATATTTCCATAAGTATTCTTCCAAATATCTACTCTTATTAAAATTTGAGGGAATTGAAAAAAGACAGTCCAAGAATTTAGTACGTCTGTGGAAATTTTTGCCAACTACCTTTTTTCATTTAAAGTCATGGATTTCATTATCTGCACCTTGAGAAATTTCTTTTGACCTAAAAATACAGGCAATCAATTTGGCTAGATAATAAAAATACAAAATATCTAGATAAGAAATATCTGATAACAGCATAGCCACATATCTAAACAGAAGTTAAATTCAAATTTATAAGGAAAATGTACTGTTTATATGTCTACTATTTCATCAAAGGTAATAAGAAAAATTTCAAGAGAATACATTGAATTAAAATTAGTTTGACATTTCAAGTATTTCCTCAAAATATTTTAGTATTTAGGGAGGTCTAATTTTTGAGTTCTTTATATATTCTAGATATTAGCCCTCAAAAAAGCATTTTTTCTCAGTATCTCTGAGAGAAAAGTCTATTTACATTTGAACTAATAATTTGAACATTTCTTTTATGCCATTATATGGCAATTTGTGAACTCTAGAAGTGTTATTTTATTGACATTGGAAAAGTGCCGGAATAACCAGCTTTTCAGGACTTGAGATGAAAATGATTGTGCAGAGTATGTTGATTATTGGTTATTAGAATACAAAAAGAAACTGACAAAGCAAGTTGCTAAAGAAATTAGAGGTTTACTTTCTTCATAATATGCCTTATAATCACAGTTCATTTTTTCTGAATGTTCCCCGAAATGTGCTGATACGTACTTGAGATTGGTTTATCTGGTTATTTTAATAATGACTGTATTTCCAGTATTGGTTTCTAAATATATGTAAAAAGTGCACATTGCCATTATGCTATTAAGCAAATAAAAAACCTGACTTCTAAACATTCTACATAGTTGGGTTTGCCATAAACATAATTGAAAAGAACCCTCCAATGTTTTCATTTAAAAATCTTGGTGACTTTCCCCTAGGTTCTAATAAACTATATCAAAATAGAACTCATTTCATGGAAAAAAGGAATCCCACAGCACTTCTTTTTAATAACTGTTGAGCTACAAAATTTTATTGGTGTCTTTTTATGTTCCCCCTAGAGGATGTAATGCACAAAAGCATTGCCACGGAACATATAAAATTACAAACGAAATTTATTGTAAAAAGTAGAATGTCTTCTAGACTGGTGTCAGTATTTATTTCATTCATAAACCAAAACTGCGGTATAATATATTCATTGTCAGCAAGTTCATGTGTGAAAATTGCCATCCAATGTTATCGACTGATATAAGACAGATATTGAAAAGACAATTTAAATTTACTCTTCCAAACATAAACTGTTCCACAAAAGCACTGTAAAAACTCCTTCAAGATTTTGGGTTGTGCTTGACATTTACGGTTAACTACATAATTTGGTTGTGTCATAATCCACTGTGTTTGGCAATTTGGCATTGAATGCCTGCAGAGCGGATTGGATCCTCACCACTTCACTCGTCGACAGCTTGAGTCTATGACGAAGCAAGCAAGAGAAAAGATCTAGACGACGCTGACCAGGTGGGGAGAGTTTATTTACACGGTCTCTTATCTCTAGTAGTTGCAAAAGTGCTGAATCCTGGGATCCCTGAGTATAGGGGTAGTCCAGTTGCAAAATCAGGTCCCGAATTGCTTCAGGGTCAAAGTGCATGCTGTAGCCAAACACTTGAATGTTGTTGATTTTCATGTAGCCCAGGTTCCGGGAAGGATCCATAAACTCCAAAGGTTCGTAGTAAATGCTCTCATTGCCGTTCGGGCCATTTGACTTGATGCGACTCCTCAGGTAGATGTGTACTGTCTCAAAAAATGTCTTCCATTTGTTCCCCAGAGTCAGTGTCCAGTTATAACACTGCAGGGGGAGGTCCAGCTTAGTCCGCTCCCAGTCTGGAAAGCTGTTTTCATTCACAGGCATGAACCAGCTCTCGGAGTGGCTGCCTCCAAAAGGATTGACATAAATAGCCAAGACTGGTTCCAAGGTGCTGTTTTTAGTTAAGCAAATCTGCAAAGAGATCCCCAAGATCATATGGACCAGGCTTGACTTGTACTTGTTACTCTTCAAGGTGAGGAGCATCCGCTTGCGCCAGGAAGGGTCAAACCAACTATTGAGGCGCATGTCATTGCTGATAAAAATGGCATGGACTTCAATTCGTCTGTCCGTCTTTTGTAACAGGTACTTCATCTCCAGATCTTGCAGGTCAGTCTCAAAGCCAATGTAGTGATCAGTGGACTCTGCGACTTCAGGCTTGCAGAGTCCCTGGCTCAGCATGTAGCCAGTGTTGCAGGTGCCACAGCGGGTGCGGTTGTCAGGAGCGCAGGTCAGGCAGGCAGAGGCGTCCCCCACAGTGCAGGGCAGGAAGGCCGTGCAGACCACCTGATCATT